CACCTCCGTCGGTACGGATGACAGAAACCGAGCGCAAGCAGCTTCGCAGCCGGACGACCTTACAGTAAGTCAGTCCCCGGCAGTTGTTATGTATAGTTTTGGCCGTCCTTTAACAGCAGCTGAATCACTGTACTGAAAAAATGTTATTCCGACCATTCCATTCGCAGGAACTCAAAAACATGCTGAATGTAAAACTCTCACCACTGTCGATTTGTAAGTGTTTACAATTTGCAACAGCTACAGAAGCTTTTTTTCGTTTCAAAAAACATAAGATTTGATTTCGAATTGAATTGATATGATGACATAATTCGAGCCCTCCAGCTGAAAGTTTATTTACTTGCGTATAACCTTATTTACTTTGTTTCGTAATTTCCATTATTCTATTGTTACTTATTCGTTATGATTTGCATTTCGCTATTTTCGTCGATCTTCTCTCAGCTTCGAAGTTTCTATTCAACTCGGACCTGTGAGATCCAAAGCGCAAAAGAAGCCATGTGCAACAACCACACTTTGGAAAGGAACAGGTCACACACATACTTAAATTGGAAATCTGTCATATATGGTTTTCTCCTGCTTTGAATCCGGCCTTGATCAGAGGATAGAGCGAACACGATTTTGCACTTATTATTCTTTTGAACCAGCCTTGCGCCTTCCATTTATCCTAAAGATCAACGGATACATTATCTTCTAGGTTCATCAGTTTTTACCTAAGTTAAAATAGGTTTTTTTCTCAGATAATAATAAATAATGTACAAGAAATTGTTCCTAGACTTATAGACTCACTAGCTTATGTGTCATTCTGAAAAGCATCTGAATGGGAACAGAAATCTTACTAATTACGCTATCATTCACTTGTCTACCTTCATGTTCTATTTAATGGGACAGTTTTCAAGCATAGGAAACGAAACACTATGATTCTAATATATGCAGCACAGTGCGTACTGTTTTGTGCAGTCCAGCAAACACTGTCTCTTGAAAACTCGCCCATCGATCATAAATGCTCACTACCATAGAACTTGACAGATGAGTCAATTGTGGCGAGGTCAAGGACGTGAAACTTCGGCGGTGGTAATTTGAAGATTTTTGAAATTTGGTCAAGCAGCTGTACCTCGCCAGTGATTTCGCCATCTCTAAGTAATGACTGCATCATTTAAAGCTGATGGGTTTGCGGATAATCAGGTTGAATGAAATTTCATTGTCTCATATGTCAGCAGAGCAGTTTCATCTAAGCAATGAAAGAAGATCATAGTCTTAAATCAACCGATACAAGCAGAACATGCATTCAGGGTGTAATGTGAGTTTAAAGCGTTAACTCATTCCTAGCGGATGATTCGGTATTTAAGCAGTGTTGGGATTCGGATTCGCCTGTTTGGCATTTGCCTCCTGGAACTACTTGTAATCAGTTACAGATGCACATTAAGGTCAAGGTAACCGCACTGCACAGATCCGTTAGTGTATGTGTGTGCATGTGTGTGTCTGTGTAGAAGTGTGTGCGACCGAATCAATTCGATGAGCGCCGAAGGATAAGCAACGGCCCAGCCATCACGGCGCCGTGACACGGAGAGAAACCACTTTTTGGCCGGTCCGCTTCGGTA